TGTAAACCACTTTCCAATAGGTAAACCTGGTTAAATGAAATTAATTAACAAAATCACTTTACGATCACCTCTTTTTAGTTCATCTCGATTCTGTTACTACAAAATGTTAAAAATATAATATATTCTTTCGTAACTGGAATTATTTTAAAGGCCACAGTTTATCATTCGGTATTCGGTTTTTTTTTTCTCTCAGCTTCTGCTTTAAGGAAATTGTATAGTACCTAATATATAAGGTGCATTTTGAAACATTTAAAGGCTTTTTCTCATGTTTAGGTAATATTCTATGAACCTAATTAAGAAATTTTCTCTCATCATTTTTAAAACCGAAATTTCTACATTCCACTTTTCCTTTTTGTATTGATTAGCTGCAGTTTAATAAACACTTGGTAGATCCTCAGAGATTTACTTAGATGACTTAGATCTGAGACAGCTAAATTATAGACATTGGTAAAACATTGTATTAAAGTAAAAACGATTAAAAGTTTACAGAACGGATATATCATCCTTTATGGAGTTATCGTTGTGCTTTCGTGAAAAGTTCGAACGTGTAATGCTTCAGTGGAGATGAATAGGAGATGTAGTCCTGTGGGAGACGGGCTTACACTCGTGTCCTACCTTAATGTAGTAACACCGCACGTAAATAACCGGAAGTTGCTTTAAATAACGCAATAATACGCGAGTGTAAGCCGGCCCGAGACACCAAGGATGACGACGGCGTCGGCGTCGACTGGCGACGACGGCGGTGATTTATAGTTCTTTGAAAAGAGAGAGTTTAGAAGTGCTAACTTTACATCCATTAAGGAGTCTGTTCAAAACAGGCATTAACACGACGAGAGTTTATTCCCGTTCTTCGCGCTACACTTTGCTCCATATTTCACCGGCAAGGGAACCTTATTACCAAGGAATTCTATTCAACATTCCGCTTACACAAAAAGGCAACGGTTGCCCGCATCCGCATCCCACCGTCATCCCGTTCCTCCTCACTGTTTATCTCCACGAACGTTGTACCCTACACAAGAAAAGCTCCACCGAGTTTCTTTGGTTTTACGGAATTATTTACAAGATGACTTACAAAAGAAACTGGCACGAAGATAAATTAAAAGAGCGCATCGGCGCCTTTACCTCAAGATTACGCGGCGTATCGACCAAGTGCTGATACATAAATCTACGGCACAAATTATCATCATGGAAAGTTCTCTTTGAATCAACAATTAAAACATTAATATAAGATACGGCAAATGTTTAAAGTGATTCAAGGTTTTTTCTCAGAAATAGAAATGTAAATTGCAAGTTCGTCTTTTCAGATGACAGAGAGGCTTCTATCGACGCCAATCAGTATGATTTCATCAAAGAAAATTTCCTGTCCGATGTTTCTAAAGGTTACTTTTTTTTACTGTTTAATGGTCGCTATTGAGCGTAATTTTACCATTTTGATTTTCCAAGTGATACTGAATGAAATTTTCATGGGATACGCATTTAAAAAGCTGAAAATTAACCTTTAATTCAATTGTAATAAAATTATTATACTATTAGGGTAAGATATTTTCATCGCCCTCCTATAAAATCGCATCTTTCACCACTAGTAGCTATGAAATCTAGCAGTATGTATTGACGCGGTTCTAGAAATGCCAAATTCATGAAACCTGACATTCATTAAGTAAAGATCATGCGCTATTTTTCGCCTTTGGACACTATTTTAACTACTATCACCATCGTCAATATTACATGTAACTCGCGAGCCACCCGTAGGTACTATAGTGTAAGTTGTCCTTGTACCTATCTGAACGTCTCTCCTTATTACAAAATTTACTAATTCGGCAGAACTCTTGTATAACTTCCGTAATACGTTACTTACGTGATCGACCAGAAACGGGGGCGCATAATTTCGAGAGCCAATATCGTCGAGATTAATCTGGTTATGTACGTATATCCTTACCTAATATGTACAAGAAGTCGGACAACTAGGGTCCCTTATATCGTATTTGTCTCCCTCGCCTGCGACGGTGGTTGTAGTAGTAGTAGTAAAGGTGGTGGTCGTAGAGGGTGCCTACGGCTACTGACTCTATTTATCTTGGCAGGTTCACCGTCCACGAATTCAGCATACATTAGTTAGCGCGCTGCTTGTATGTATGTCCAACATAAGGCATTCGACGGCCCCTACGGCTTTATGGGTTATACCTACTAACGAGATAATATATCTGTACAATGGAAATAGAACTTTGTACCGCCTCGTGTGCATAACATGCATTTATATCGTACCTAGTATATTCAGCACATACTTGAATAGACCACTTGTTTGTTTTCGGGTACCTATACAATATTCTGCACGTGCTTCTCAATGTAGGAACTTGTTTTGATGGGACCAAAAGGAAATCTGCAATCAGTTGTTTAATCAAAGCAACATTGCGGTTAAACGTACTTTAAAAGTATGTTTAACTTCAGTATGGTTAAACGGTGTCTGGCACCTCCGACAAAACTACAAAAATTAATTGAAAATTTAGGAGATGCTGAGAAGAAATTCTCTCAGAGAAATGCACCTCCAGTGAAAACAAACTTTTGAATTTCTGTTAAATTGGAAATCAAGAATTTTTATTAAACTTGCATGAGTCTATAACTCTCTCTGTAGTTACCATTGTTAGAAATATGTAGCACATCTATTTGCGCCAACGCCAACATCTCTTCAATCGTTATAAAAAACAAATTACGGCTTACATCAACGAACGCCCTTCAAGATTATATATGCGGTAGTAAAACGGGCAAACTGAATCGCTATTAAATATTGATGTAGCTTGATACTACTGTAATTAATTGATGAGAACTAAGTGGAAAGTTATAAACAATGTAGATATAATGGAATAGATATCCCTCTATGTGCAGTTCGTACAGTATCAGTAGGCTACACTTACGTACCATATCATTCAATATATACCAGTCCCATTCCATTTTAGTTGACGCACCTAATTAAATCTTTTTTTGTGTACCATTAAGGAGAACTAGACGCTACATTATTCTTTAATTTCCAATAACTTAGTTAATGGGGCATGTCTTATTAAAATATCCGATACAAAACACCAACATTTTTATTTCGATTGTATAGTTATTAAAACAATTGGGTACGTCATCATCATCATCATCATAACGTCGTCAGTCCTAAGACTGGTTGGACACGCTCCTCCACTGCTTCCTATCCTGAGCTAATTTTCGAATTTCTCTGAAACTAGAACAACCCATATCCTTAACTACTTTAATTGGGTACATACAGGAGATTTATTTTAAATCACAATTTTAAAAAGCAAATGATAAAGAAAAGTTATTAATTAAATTGTCAAATAAGTAAAATGATGTAGGTACCTGATCAGGTAAGCATAAAATTTTTTTTTTTTTTCAGAAAATTTTTCGAATTAGTTTTAAAGATCAAGACCATGAAAGCTATTTAACGATTAAATTTAACGAGTAACAAATCACTGTCCGCTTGTAAGTGTTTTGCCGGCGTTTGCAAATTACTGCGATAAGTCTTAGGAGTGTCTCCGAAGCGAATAAATAACCTTTCTTTGCCATCTCCTTACATTAATTTGAGAGAGGAAGGTATTTGCCACTTCTTTATATTTTGGTCGATCGTTATCGACGTTTAAACGACTCATTTGTCTTCCGAAAAACAGACGAGAAGGCGGAAACTTAGATTTTAGCGAATTCAGCGAGAAAACGGGGAACTGACAATGGACGGATCAGGACTCAATTTTTTTTCTTCCGATTCGCTAACGTCTGAAACGTTTTTGTAACGTAACTACTTCTTACGATGCGATAGATTTTCGAAGAGAAAAGTCCCTATTTCTTTTGTCTAAAATAGTAATAAGCTTGTAGTAGATAACATTATTATGAAATTGTGTTCGAGCTGATTATAAAAACAATCAACAAAATACGAAGCATATATTCAGTCTTTCGTACTGTCTCGCAATTACAACGGGCCAATGAGGTGCAACCAATTTGTGCAGCATACTAAGTTAGTTATGACTTGTTTTCACCCTACACGACTATACTTAAAACGATTCAAACTACATTTCTCATGCGTAATTTGTATTACCTACAAGTGTTTCTGCGTTTACTTTTTGGATTGATTCCTACAGGCTATAGATATATATGTCGATAACGTAAACGCAATCTCTCAATAATTTTACAGTGCACTTTTAAAGTTTTCTTCGCTCCATATTCAAACTTCGAATAAAGTAAGCTTCTAAAACGTCTGTCACAGTAAGTGCATCTCCAACTATGAATCTTAACTTTGACCAACTAAGAACCGATTCCATTTCATCGTTAAGAGTTTACCACATCATTTAGGTATAATATTGTAAGGGAGTAAACCACAAAATCATAGTCTGCACTTTCTTAGAAGTTCGTTAATAGGTACTAGTTTTAAATGCGCAATCACTTTAGCCAATACAGTTCAGTCCAGCATTCACTTGCCACTTCTTCTTGGTCTCATGTCTGAGAAGCCTTTGAGTTTTCGTACTTCTATTCCAATAAGTAGATTTTCGCTTAAGTTAGATATATGTAGGTATGTAATATAAAAGTACTGAAAAAGATTTTATTCGAATTTCTTTTTTGTCAACAACTTTCTTGTACTAAGAACGAAAAACACTGACGTTCTGGAGCTTTACGTGTTGAATGGTCAATGTGTAAATAATGGATTCTTTTCTTTCCATTGTCGAGGTAAGAATTGGATTTTTCGAATATGTAGGTACAGCTGCATTCAAGAGCTATCGATTCGGGAACAGTGAGCGTTCTTTCTATATCTTGTCTCTCATTCTTCATAGTAAATGTTGAGATGTGTATGGATGTGTGTGTATTGCATATCTATTTGACCTTGTGAGAACTTTGTGTACTTAAACACCTACATATTTTGCTATCCACTCAGTGGCAACTTCCATTAGATACCTAAATACTTTTGTTAATTACAAAATTTTCGACACCATCCTAAACATACCTTTTTATTTTCTTTTCAGATTCTTCCTCAAATTTTTCCTCAAATGCAATCAAAACTGCCTCAAAAACGCCGGTAATCCAAGAGATATGAGGAGGTTTCAGGTACTATTAATTTGATATATAATTAACCATATTGAAAAGTGACTTCGAAAAACTCGAAGCTAAGTATGTAATTTAGGGGGCGGTAATTTAATCCTTTCAACATTCTCCTTGCTGTATTTAACGTTAAAGGAGACTTCTACGTACAGTAAAATAAATTTAGTAGTTCGGGTTTCGTTATAAAGATAATTTTTTACTGTAAAGAATCTTATGCACAATCAGATCCGATTGAAAAATAACATCAGTTTGGTGACTCTTGTTTCGTTTCAACTTGCTCCTTCCATATAACTGCAACTGTATTCTACAGTAAAAAGAAATAGTTTTCTGCGGGTTTTAAACCTGTTTTTTTACCAACCAAAAGCATGTTACGCTTGAGCCGTCATTATACGCTCTTGAAAATAAAGGCAAATTCTCAAGATAGCTGTAGTTTCTTTAAAATCTTTCGGAAATCCGAGATTATTGTTGCTTAATGTTCATTTTATATTTTTCTCTCAAAAATGTGTGGGAGAATCGAAAAGCTCGTCATTGATCCAACTACGTAAACGAAATAGTTACCTTAAAAAGCTTTTATTTATTGCATTTTTAGTACGATTTTTAATTCTTATCATATTACATATATTCAAATTCTTTCTAAAACCGGTATCATCTGAACATTAAACCGAACAAAGTATTCATACTGTTAGTGGTAATTTTTCAATTTAATTTTGTCTGTTCAGTTTATTACATGTAATCGTTTTTGAGCAATGTGCAAATACAGAAAGCTTTAATTTATGAAAATATAGAAGCACCAACAAATTTCGCGAAGGTTCGTTTCAGGCCTTTAGCTGTGCCAATGAACTTGAGTTGAAGCTTTTACTTATGCCATTCCCTTATTTAGCTTTCGTCGCTCTTAAAGGGGATGTTCCCGAACATTTTTCGAGCTATTTCGAGAAAATACGGCCACATAGTTTGGCTCGAAACTGCATCGTAAAAGCATCATCGTAAATATCGTCAACCCGATGGATGTTCCATAAAGTTCGTTTTTTTTTTCTTCATCATCTACGGTGTAAATGGAATGTCTTCTTCTTCTTGTCGGTGACCGTTCGACTGACTACGATAGTCGTATTTCAACTAGCGCGAGATATCGAACGCCGCCTACTGGACGTTTTGCCGTCATCATCCTGCTTCTGTTCCCATGGGAACGCGTGTGTATTGGGGGGTGCACGTTCCCCAGGGAGCTCGTAAGCGTCCCTAGGGGAGGAGTTTGTCTTTAAATTCACTACCGCCACCACCTTGGATATGAAAATGGCTGCAGTTTTGCAGAAATTAGCGCGCTTAATCAAGTGTGCCGTGCAAATTACAGGTTAGCTCTCAATTTACAGGTCGTCATAGCAACGCAAGTGTCCGTAGAGGGACCATTATTGGCCATCTCTGACAACATGTTCGTCCATAACAATTCCAAGCATGGACGAAGGGCGAAACGGCTCGATCCTTCCGAAGGTAATTTTAATTTATTCACACTTTATCTAAAGATCTTTTCCCGAAGTGTGAAGAGGTTGAATGTCTAATTAGTTTTACGCTGGGGCGTATTAACATTTAATAATGTTTGGACACCAGGTTTTTTAATAAGAACAACGGAAACATCATGACCAATATGTTTCTATATAGATACCTTTTTTTATTCATACCTATAAGTAATTGAAGTACAATGATTACCTGGTCATGGCCCCTCTATGTAAATAGCAGTACCAGTATTCATTTTTGTTACGATTTTTTTACTACAATAGTTATAAATTGAGTTTTTGTTGAGAATTTTACTCAAACCAGATACTGCGCGCACTATCCTGATCTTCTTTAGATTTTCAACTAGTTCACCTTTTCTTTAGATTCGTTACATTTTATCAATTTAATCCGATTATTTGTGATGTAACGACAGCCTTACTGTCACTCATAGTGTACTGAGACAATAATTGCCTGACATTCTCTTTCTTTTGTTCTGTTACTTAAACAAAAATGAGCACTTATTTTATACATAATATGGTACGTGCAATATAAAATTTTAATAATCGTTTTATTCTGTGAGCCTGGGAAGTAAGTAGCACACGGTAAATGCGATCGTCGTTTGAATGAGTCCTTTTTTTTCTCGCTAACGAAGCAAGGAACGCCACCGAGCAGAACAGCGCATTCCGCGGTAACTTCTCGTTTGTATGCGAACCCGTAACGGATCCAAAACTTTGCGAAATTGGTTCCCGATCCGGTTCACTGGAGGACGGAAGCGGAAACAACGTAACGTACATACTCTAACAACGACAAGCCCAAGCCTGGACTTGAGCATTCTTGCCCTCTCGGTCTTTTAATCTTCTTTCTTGTTCACTTTCTCTTTCCCTTTTTATCTTTATTACCCTTTGCGAGAGCGAGATTTGTGTCCCAGCCGATAGCTAGCTAGTAACACCGTTACTACTTCTCCGGCCCCCTTCAACGTTCTCTTCCACCCTCGTCATGCCTTCGGCCAGTAAGTCTACATCATTGTCTTGTTCACAGGAGGCCATGTTTTACTTTGTTAATTTACCATTTCGTTTTACTTATTCGCTGTTTCATCCTCGAATAGCTTTCATCGGTTATCCTTTCACGTTCCAAATTTTTTACTCATCGCAGTATCCATCATGGACACATGTGCTTACCCTTCCCTTTGACTAACAAAGGTACACCTAATTGCAGAAAAAATGAATAGATTAATATACCGGTCCGTTAGACATTTATATCTAATAGTATCGGAATGGATGTGAAAACGCAGATTAATAACATGGTGTTTATTATTCAAGGTTTTCCTAATCCCACGATATGGTAAAAAAAAACTCTCGTTCTTCGAGTATCCCGTCCTTATCTTGTATACAATTAAACCTCCTTAAAAAAGCGAACATTGACTTTTGCTGCTTGTCATTGTGTGACATAATATAATATAAAAAACTAGCGTGTCGATGGAAATCTCATCTGATAGGCACACAACAATAATGGCTTTGTTTGTGAAATTGTTACCCTAAGCTCTTCTAAATGCGAACTTCAAACAGCGACATTTTGTTTTTCTCTGTTTAATGTCGGTGTTATCTTTTAGGCCTCTATCCACCCTTACCTGTAGCAACACCATGCATTAAAGCCATAAGTCCAAGCGAAGGTTGGACTTCAGGAGGTTCCACAGTCATCATCGTTGGAGATAATTTTTTCGATGGTTTGCAAGTTGTATTTGGTACAATGCTGGTGTGGAGCGAGGTGAGTGTTTTAAAGTATTAACGGATACCGCTTATTTAATGTCGCCTCTATATAAAAAAGCAGAAATTGCCATTCTCATATTTATTAATGAATAAAAAGCAAAATACCTAACGATAAATATAACATGATTTACTTGTGATGTTTTATCTTCAGCTCATAACTCCCCATGCAATACGAGTTCAAACGCCTCCAAGACACATTCCCGGTGTAGTGGAGGTAACATTATCATATAAATCAAAGCAGTTCTGCAAAGGAGCTCCGGGAAGGTTTGTTTACGTCTGTAAGTGTAATTTGTTTTATTGAATTTCAAAAGAAAGCATGACGTTCAACTTTTTTTTTCAGCTCTGAACGAGCCGACCATCGATTACGGATTCCAGAGGTTGCAGAAGTTGATTCCTCGACACCCAGGTGATCCCGAAAAATTGCCTAAGGTACTTACTGGCATTTGTGCGTTTATCGATTTGTATCTAACCTGATGGGACTTTTATGACTTTTAATCGTATTGTATATGTATTACTGTTGAAATTGCCAAGACTACATTTTCATCTGAAATACAAATCCAATTGCACAAGTAACTGCCAACGTTAAAGGCTCTTCCATTTTTAGGAGATAATCCTAAAGAGGGCGGCCGATTTAGCGGAAGCTCTTTACACGATGCCCCGAAACAATCAGTTGGCGCTGGCCGCTCCTCGATCACCTACGATGGGCAATAACGGAATGACCTCAACCTTTAACACTTATACAGGGCAACTTTCAGTTAGTGTACAGGACAACGGAAACGGTCAGTGGACAGAAGGTGCTGGTCCTTCAATGTACTCTTTTATGAATTTTATTGATTGTAAATAAGCATAGCATACCTAGCTAATTAATACACCTTATTAATTAACTTACTTAATACACGCATGTGTGAATCATTTCCGAGAAGGAATCGAGCCTTAGTATACCTGTTCTAATGAGTATTTTTTGGGTAGGTTTTGGAAAAAAGAATAATCTTTACCCTACTTCAAATCACAATCAGAAAATAAATGAAAAAAGATATATTATATATATATATATATATCTGTATGAACCAATCCAAAATGAAACGGTAATAGCACACTGAATTCACTTATAATAGGATATATACGGTATACACTATGCCTGAAAATTGTGGGTTATTTCATTTTAAGTATAGTCAAGTAGGATGAACGTAAGTCATAATTAACTATTATGAGCTGCGTAACATACGTTCCGGTAAAGAGGCAGTACGAAATGTAGCGTACCGTGCCGTATGTCGTTGAGCAATTGGCCCACACATGACCTCTCAGTAACGAATGCTTAATAAGATGTGTGGGGATACTTTTGAAAATTTAAGAGTGATTCTATGTAGTCATTCAATTTTTTACTGTTTGATACGTATGTAGGTAATTTGTTTCGATAACTGTGACATTATATCCAACGTAGAGTTACGTAATTATTGTTAGTATCTGTTGTACGTAATTTAGGATTGAGTGACTCTTCTACTGACTTCCCTGTTACGGTTAGGGTTTTTCTTTTAGAGGAGCAGTATGGAGGTCGGGCGCAGAGCAGTAGCGTCTCGCCACGCGGAGGCGGCGGTTACTGTTCGAGCACGTCAACCCCACATTCGTCTTCGACGGGGGGTGGCGGAGGCGCTTCGAATTACGGGGGCTCCGGGGGAATGAACGGGTATGGGGGCGCAACGCCGACAAGCAACAGTAACGGCAGCTCACATCAAGTTAGTATGCAGCTACCCGGTTCACCATCTTCGGCTGCCGCCGCCGCCGCCGCCGCTGCGGCCGCCTCCGGTCTCTTCAATGGCACCTCAAGTAAGTAATCGCTTATGTACCTAAGCAGGAAGTGCACAATTTCTAACAGAAAAATTGAGATGACAATCTCCTAAAATCTCATTCAGTTGCTTAATAGGCGTTTAAGTAAAACTAACAAGGGATGACGAACAACAAACTCTCTTTTGTGTATTTATCAAATTTAGATAGCGTTTGTATACCTGCTTAACACACGTTGCTTTATAACCGCTTAATCCTTGAGCCAATCAATGATTTATTACTTATACACCGTTCCCTGAAAATCTTCTATTAGGAAAGGTGATATTTATTAGCATCTAGCCGTTTCTTATTTTATGTTTTGCAACTTATTGTGCTTCCATTCAATGTTTGACTGTTGGTCATTATTTTAGTTTCGGCCGAGCAAGCAAGTCACCAGTATTTTGCTACTCACAGCAGCAAAGGGGACAAGGAGAAAAGCGCGTTCGCCCCGGTGCTAAGGGGCAATTCCCCCATTCATCCACCGGGTCCCGCGCTTTTCCACCACCAACCCGTTTCTGGCTGGCATCATCTTGCAGTTCAGTGTCAGTATATACAATATTATGTCTGTTTCTTTTTGGCTGTGCTATATTTGTAGATAGATTACCTTAGCGCTTTGCGTTTATAAAATAGCCAACACTCAGTGCTCTGCAATTATTACCGAATTAACCAGTAATGATTATAGATGAGGCGATCCTTCTAGACTTTAGCAGAAATCATTTAGGAAACGTTGACCTCTAAAACTGTGTCATCACCAAAATCTTAAAACAGCAACATTAGTTTCATTTTCCTAAATATGATTTCGTGCGAATCACTGCTATTTTAAACAATCGACAGTTTACTTTTCATTTTGGTTTTTCTCCGTAAATAAAATTCTGGTTTCATCCATAAGTAACATTTGTAAAATAAACTTTGCCTCATTTGTTTCTGTCAACTTTAAATAAAGGCCGAATAACGTGACAATCTTCTGATGAGTCTGATAAAACTTACCTATTCCCCTTTAAATTTCCTTGCAGGAATGGGTCTTGTTCCATCACCATTTGCTTCAATGAATCCATTCGCCTTACCGACTTGTAGTGCTCAAAATTATGTAAACACACCTTTGGTTGAATCGGCCAAGTAGCCCTAGCACCATTCGTTTATTTTGGAACTTCAAGCAAAGATATTACGCGTCATTCACCACTAGTGCAACAGTATAATGTATGTATGTAACGTACATATATATGCAGGAGAAACACACGTTATCCGCTGCACTCCAAAAATGTAGATATGTACGTTAATTAATACAGACTAAAGCTTTTCGAAGTGCTCGCGACATTTTGGCGAAAAACTGTGATGGGTCATCTGGCATACGGTCGAGAGTTTAATTTTAAACAAAACCAACATGTTATTACATTAATATTTTTATTTATTTATTTATTTAATTGTACATTGGCAACTTCAGTTGCAATGTTAAATTGGAAATAATGAAAAGGTTAACCAAAATTAAATCTGGAATTGATTGAGAATCAGCTGAATTTTCAATCAAAATCTAATGAAATGGTGAAATAACGCGTAGGTAAGATTGACTTGACAGCAACCAAAGAAGTCCCTATTAGCGACTTTAATTGTTTATAATTCGGGTTGTTAGTTTAGTTTTTACATATTTCCGATTGTCTGTGATTTTAAGTGTGCACCTATCGGTTTTCTCTTTAGAATAATTCGCATGTAAATTATATAAAATCTATTCGATTGAGGTAGACATATCTATGACTTTATACATATCGCTTTGAGCTGGGAAAATTACAAATATGTATTATTGTACAGTTACATCTGTAAATATACGTATCTTTCACTTTTTAGGAAATGTAAAAAGCTGTAAAATATTAGGGTTTAAGCCTATAATGACATTATACAACGATTATAAAGGTATATTTTACGAAATTATTACTTTCTATATAATTGAAAAGAGGATCTAAGGTTTTGATGTCAGCGCTTGAAATCATGATGCGGTTCATGAGGTGTCGCACCATTTCTTCTACCTACATTTAAAGTTTCATTTACAATGCAACATAATCCACATTGACTTTCTAAAAAGAAAACACATACATAGCCATATACGATTTGTTTGATGTTTTTTAATAGTAATTAATAGTAATTGTTTGATGAATTTTAATAGCAATTGAAAATGACGAGACGAAAGTAGTTTCAGCTTCTTGACACAGCAAATTTCAGAAATTTTCACGGTACTTATACAAAATGCAATCTTACCTATAACTTAATGAGTATAACAAAAAAAAATGTGTATACGAAATGAAAAATGTATAATTTACAATACTTACCCAACGTGCAAGTGAATTAAACCAAAGTTTAATATTCGTTCAACAAGAGCATTTATTACTGTTATTACTGTACATATTTCTGTTGTTAGAGTTCTGCAATTACACAATTTTTCATTGTCTAGGTACATATTTAATTTAAACAGTAATTTCAATTTCAATCAAAAGACAAATTCGGTATACGTACGTGATCAATATTGAGTTATGTATATTTAGTTAAAATTTCTGAATTCTTAAAATTTGAAAAAATAAAAAACTACGAATTTCAATGGTTTTCTTTATTCGTCCACTTTCATCATTCCCTTCGCAATTCGGATAGGTACAGAGTAGGGATTCCACTAAAAAGGTAAGTGTGGAATTTGACGCTAAATTTAACCTAATGAGTTACAAAAAACAAATAGTAAAATGACAAGTATGTAAACGCATCAAAAACGTATCCGATCCTGACGTATGGTCCTTATCGTTATATAAAAACAAAGAAGAGTAGGAGAGCAGAGCGCGCTATGAAAGTCTATAAGAAATAGGCGAAATGGCTTGGTAGGACAAGTTCTCGTACTTATATGAAGGGCGACGTATTAGAAGAAGGAAAAAGTTAAGATGAGCAGAGCGGCCAGAGGTAGAGGTAAGTTGCTCCAGTTTTCAAGAAATACGAAGGTTTGCTTAAAATAAGAAGTGAAGGTGCATGTCCGTCAATCAGGTTGAAGACCTTCTGATGATCAAATGGCACGATATTTGAACAATGAAAAGCTATACTTAATCTGTTATTCTTTGGAATGGTTCGTACAGACTGTCTACAACGTAAACGCTACATATTCCAATAATTTTACAGTATCTTTCTTTCTGTCCAGATCGAAATTTACCAGGGATGCCCGCATTCGGGCTTTAATATGCTTAATGTTTACATTTAATTTTCGAGAATTTAACCGATGCCCTTTTTATTATGTGTCAGATACATGAAATTAAGTCGAGATTGCTTGACGTCACTGATATGACCTTTGTATTCGTAGACCATCTGTCAGTGCACGTTATTTATGTACCTACTACCGTTTGGGTACAATGCTGCATGAAGGGCGCGCACCCTGTTTCAACAGTAGCCGGCGGCACAACTATTACCACCGCTGCTGCCACCACTTTACCATTATAATAGGCATTTCTGGTGTCAGTTTCAATTTCATCGAACGCTTTTGTACTCAAATAACTGTATTTACATTCGACCGATAACACGCTTCTGTTGTTATATTTGAACAAGAATATTATCTACCTATATCTACAGGTCTAGTTATAATAATAATAATAATAATAAGTACCGAATAAGAATGTAAATTGGGTATAATTTTCATTTTATTCGCAGTGATATGCAAATGGATAAGCGTAATTCCTATTAGATGAATTAGTTTTGCTCACACGGTGAAATTTAATAGCCTACAAATCGTCATTAAATGGCATAAGTTGTTAGGTATCTATTACATCTCACACAATAGTCGTATTGTAAGCATAAATTAGCATAAAGCTTTAAGAATTTATAACAAAATATTCACGCAAGCAACGAATTACGAACAATTCAGGCACGCCTAATGAAGTATGTAATGTATGTAAATACGTTCATGTAGGTACACTGAAATAATGAAACACAAGAAACTATGAAATTTTAACTGCAAAATGTGCTCCTATACGTTGTTCCTAAAATCACACTGGAAGGATTACGATTGTAATGATGATTTTAAAATTAAACGAACGAGTGGTCCTTTTTGGCTTAATCTTCTTGGATGCACGTGTGGATGATCCCCACACCAATATTCATACCCTAATTCCTAATACGCACGCATGCATTCACACTCACATACTTAGGTAATAAAGAATGACAATGACAAGAGCGATTCCTATGTGCGCTCGTGTTATTGTCAATTGGCCACGTGCCATCACCGGTGCTATTTTGTAAGCTATTTCTCACTCTATTGCGTTCACATGAGCACTTTTTATCATCAACATCCATATTCTCATCTATGCCACCCGACTGAATGTTATCTTTATGTGAAATGAACGCCAGAAACATAACATGACTAAGTACAGGATAATAACCTTACAGTTAAATGTTTAAATGGCATTAGAAACTTGTATGTACGGTCAACTATAATATACAAGTATACAATTGACATTTGCCTTCTTATTCCGATCTACTTAAAGAGATGGCAGTATCCAAAATGAGACAACTATCCAAAATTAGCTCAATTTATAATTTTAAAGGAGAATAAATACCTACAAATACAGCTGCCCTCGGTCGTTTCCCTAATTTTTACATACAACATAAATAATTCCGTTTCCCATTCATTATGGTATAACAACATTCATTGGAAAAGAAGTAATGTACAACACGTCTCCCCTCTTTGAACTTTCGATATAAAACCTTTACTGTCGTCAGATTAGCTAATGGGATTGCACAAATGAACATCAAAGTAGACATACGAAAAGGAGCAAAGGAGCGCATGGGATGGCATCGAATGTCCCATCCCTTGTTCATTCGATTCTTATCGGATTAGCACCAGTTGTTTTTTATCTTGGCCATTAATCGTTGGTGTTCGAACTTCTAAACTCGTCGCCCTTTCCTATTGAACGAGTGTAATCATTTGTGGCTGCACTATCTGCTCTTTGATTGCTGTCTAGTGAACTAACTATATAGAGAACGAACTCCTCATAAAACCAATTTGTGGCCAAGCGAAAAAGCAACAACGTTTATTATGGTACGATAAAAAAATTAATAAAACTAAATTTTTCGGTTAGAAAGTTGAATTGTGCGAATTCAATCTGGGTCTTCTTGTTTGCGTATAACTGACAAATAGCTGATTAAATCCAGAAAATGTTTATGCAGAACTAGCATAATGAAACGAAACGACGGAGAGGACAATGCGTTTGTCTTGGATATCAAACAAAAAAGCAGTGCGACAATTTCAACCAAGTCACTATGGAAGAAAGCCTTGAGGAAGAGTAAGATTCAATGAAAATCAATTGGCGATTAAGTCAATACTCATGGCAGGTAAGCAAATTTGCTTTGCACTTTTCGTTTAAATATAGAAAAGCGTACTTATATATAGGTATGTAGATATCAATATTTTGTAGTTTAATTACGTATCGTACACAAAATCTAAATATGAATGAATTGTGCTACCTTACGGTTTGTTAGATAAATGATCTGATTTATATGTTATCTAAAAGATTGTAACTGCCATCAATCTAAACCACTTATTGTTTTATCAAAAGTATAACCTATCGTTGTAATCAACGATATCTTGCTTATACAGAAACAGACACCACTGACTTGAATATTTTCCATAAACTTTGGAACAGAAAACGATCAAAACCTATTAGTCAGAAGCATTAAAAAAGAAATTGATACATACATATTTTTTAAATAAATTAGAACAACCACTCAACCAGGCGTGTTAAGCAAACCTTAAATATTACGTTGAAAAAAAAAAATAAATAAAAATAAACAGCAGTAGCATATAGTTATGAATGAATTAGGAATATTAACATATGCTAACAAACATTTGTTAAAAAGAAACTCTATTATCGTAAAATATTTGCATGGCAAACTTTTCTGTTAAAGAAACTGTCAAGTGTAAATTACAATTGGAGATGTCCATCAATTGATCGGTAACAGGACACTCTTCATAACGAGGGGTAGCGTGATAACGCCATTGGAATTGTAAATCACATTGTCATTTCATTTCACCAAACGTCATTATAGAGGGAAAGAAGAATTCGGCGTTCAATTATTAGTTT